GGCTCGATCCTGCGAGACGCGCTCCCGAACGAGGAACATGTCTGTGGCACAACAGCACCCCCGCCGCCAGACAATGCATCCGGAGTTTTGAGCCGTCAGCGCGGCTCGGAAGGAGGGATGCTGGTTGACCATCGGTAGCCGTTCCGCTCTCTCCGCCCGTTGAGACTTCCAAAGGCCTGCAGATGTTCACTGGAACGACGGAGTCGAACACAAAGGCGAACCACTCCGGCCAAAGCAAGCACCCTCCAAATGCTGATCAAGTCGCCAGACCAGCAGACACCAAATGTTTCCTCGAGATTACGCTGGGCTAACAAATAGCATCACGAGCAACGAATCTCGGGAGGAATACACAATGCGGACACTCCTTTACAGTGCATGACACTGCTAAACCAATCAGAATTTTTGTTTTCGTGAGCGATTCTCGATTGTGACCCGGGCAGATTAGGGACGATCGAAGCTGCTGAGTTTAAATCAATTTGGCCCCGAAACTACAATTTAGAATACCAAGCAATTATGAATCACGCACATTGGCGTCGCTTGCAAGCGTCAGACTGTGAAACATAACAAAGTTCGTCATCCTACAAGCTCTCACTGCAATGAGCTCCGCCAATGATCATCAAAACAAGAGAATGCACGCTTGAAAAGGTAGGAAAGTAACACTAAAATTTAAACTTGTGCGCGTTACACAAAACAAAGTGAAAAGTTGACCTACATTTACGTACATACTAACACGTAATGCAAAACACAGAAGGTACTTTAAACAGGGGTTTTTACTTAGCCTTATCTGTTAAAATAAAACACACTAACTGTTACTTTTGAAATATTATGAAAACAAAATTAATCAAACAAACCTGAATATCTGCTTCTCCGATGACAAGGAAAGTAAAACTTACAAAAATTTAGACTCATTCCTTGCTCAACGGCTTACGACAAAAGTAGAAAAACAATTTCTAAAGCTAATTACAATGTCTATTCCTAGTAACGGCAAGACGGGGCCCCTCTCAGACGAACTCTGGAGAGTCGCGCATTCCACAGCTTCTGAGGGTTGCGGTCTGGACAAAAGGACGACGAATCAACCCGTTCGCCGAACTCAGTAGCAGCGACTTTTGACCCGCAGCCACTCAACTCGAAGAAAGGGGCATCTGCACTGCATCGTTTACGCCGCCCGTTCGACCAGTGACCCTTTCGCCACGGTGGGGAACGACCGCTTGTGTTACAGCTCAAGCGCTCGCAACGTTTCCCCACTTGCTTGCATCTACAAGGCAGAGAAAAGGATGAGACCAGGCGGTGATTTCGGCGTTCCAATTTCCTTGAATTTTGGTCTTTGTTGACGTGCTTCCCGCCTAATCTCCATCTCAGTGATGGTCTGAGCTTCAAACATTTCCTGCAGGGCCCTTTCGCGATCCTACGCCTAGCCCTGAACCTGGCGTATCGAATGAAGACGTCCCAGCACTTAACAGCTGCTTTAACATGTTTGATGCCTCTCGTCTCTTCCGCGCTACGCTTTTGCCGACGCTTTTTTCTCTTCGAATGGCTAGGAATGGTGGAAGCCCCGACACACTTATTCACAAGCGCACTGCCTTCGACAGGCTCTGCCAAAACTCTATGCGGCTGAACCAACTTATCTTTGTGGGGAGTCGAAGTTCCCAATTTGTTGGCTAGCGTTTCCTGGCGCCCGGTGCTAGCGGTCTCTGCCTGTGGCATAACGGGAGGCCCGATTAATTTAGGGCTAACAAAGGCGCTTACAGAGCTTTCAATCGGTGGGGGTCTATCGCTGTCGTGGATAGCCCTTTTTCTCTGGCCTTTGAAGTCGGCCTCATGCTCTCTTTTCCGAGCTTTACTCTGTAGCGCTTTATGTCGCGCATCCTGCTCAAGCTTTTGTCGACAGGCGTCAGCCTGTAGTGCCTTACGACTCGACTTGTCGTCAAGCTCTTTTTGATGCGATGCATCCGAATCATGTGTGCTGTGAAGCGGCTCCGTCTCTAGCGCTTCGCGATGCGCCTCGGCGTCCTTAGCCGTGCGATGGGCCTCGGCCCCAAACTCCTTGCGATGCACCTCGGCGTCTGGCTCTATCCGACGCACTTCGGCGTTTCGCTCTCTCTGGCACACTTCTGCGGCTTGTGCTTCGCGACGGGCCTCAGCTTCCATAGCTTTTCGGCATGCCTTATCTTTACGCGCTTCTCGACGCGCTTCTACTGCTAGCGCTCTTCGTGGCGCTTCAACCTTGTCTTCATCGCTCCGACTTTCCTCGTCAGCATGACTTGAAAGAAAAAAATATCTTATCAAGGCATATCTAACATAACTGAAGTCTCTTGCTTCCTCGAAGGGTAAGCAATTCAAAACATGCGCTATCTTGCGCGGCAACAGCGTGGCGAGCTTCTCCCCCCAAAGGTCGCGGCTAACACCAACATTACAGCAGACAACTTCAAACTCATCAAGAAAATGGGCGATGTTCTCGCCTGCCTGAAAGTTGTGGAGCTGGTGTTTAGCTCGCTCCCATTTAAGGGCTTGAATTTTAAGGTCAAGCTCTCTCATTTTGAGAGCATGCTCTTTCCTTTTGCGACACTCCTCGGCCTTCCGCTTTTGCTCACAAACGAGCTCCCAAAACTCGTCAGCCTCCTCGGCCGTCACATTCTCTGCCCGCATCACCTCGAGAATCGTTTCCCTTGTTTTAGCGGACCCGGCGGAAATCCCCATGGCCCCACAAATTTCAAGGAGGTCCTGCACCAGGTACTGCTCCATCGCGATCTCGTCCCTCGTGATGCTCTACTACTGATATTCACCGTACTCCAAAACTAATCTCGTGGTTTAAAGTACGTGAATATTGAATTATAACCAATAAAAAACACAAAACACTCTCCTAACATCTGCCTGTGCTAGAGAGGTCTGGCGAAATGAACAGTAAACGTTGGGCACTCACCCAACCTAAGTAGCCGACGATGGTCCAACTCCTGGCTGCCTTCGAACAGTGCTGTGGGTGTCGTCAGGCCTGCAGGGATCCGGTCCAACTTGCCAATGTTGAGATCCGGGGTTGCTTGTCCCAGCTTGCCGAACGATGAGAACAACGTAGCGTATACCAGCGTAGCCAAACGCTATCACGGCGGTCGTCCTCGTGCTCGGAGATCCGATCCAACTTTTCAGCCGTTGAGATCGGGGTAGCGGGTCCCAGAGCAGCAAAACGTTGAGGACAGGGGTCTGATCCGGCGTGCCAAACGTAGGATATCGTATCCCGAAGCTGCCAACCACTGTTAGGAATTTGCTCTGTCGCGATGGTGGCGGTGGCGACGAGCGGCGAGCCGTCGAGCGGACTTCGATAAAGCCTTAGCCCGAAGGTGAAACAGGGAGGCAATCCGTTTGGAAAACAGCAACAAAAGTAGCGTTTACTGTAGCAGGTTGTCGTTTTACAGAGCCGGCCAGCACGACAACGTCGGCTGGGGCAAAAATCCCCTAACATGGGGCCGGCTCGGCCTTAAATAGCGTCTTTGGTCCATTCTCTTAGACCAGTTCTCGGGCTCGGAGGGGGAGACGTAGCCGTACCCGGAACTGCAAAGTGGTCCGGCGGAGGAAACGACGTTATCCCCGGACTTCACGGTTTTTCTGCACGGAAGGCGGCGCTGGGAGGGGGGGAGACAGTTCGTCGAAACAGGGCTCGATCCTGCGAGACGCGCTCCCGAACGAGGAACATGTCTGTGGCACAACATTACTTGCCCCGTCGCAGTGGTCTAGTGGCTAAGGTACTCAGCTGCTGACCCACAGGTTGCAGGATTGACTCCCGGCTGCCTTTATGATGGAGGCAAAAATAGCGCAGGTCGTGTGCTCAGATTTGGGTGGACGTTGAAGAACCCCAGGTGGTCGAAATTTTCGGACTCTTCACTACGGCATCTCTCATAATTATATGGTGGTTTTGGGACATTAAACCCCACATATCAATAAATCGCTATGCTTACTTATTCTAATCAACCGGTGTCAATTACAATACGAGGCGGTGCTTGAACTGGCCTCATCACAGCCACTACGTAAAAGAACGGCACAGATTCAAAAAAGCAAAAAAAAAAGCGACATCCAGTTGCCGTTTTGGCTACGAGCGTCGTAACTGCATGCAACAGAGCGACATGAGAAGCCAAGTGATAAGACTTGACGCGCATGAGCCCTGAAGCAGTTGTCTCGTTTTGTCTCATCACTTGATGGCGTGTCGATGCATTCTGCCACGTGATCCTGTGTTCGGCACACTTTTGATCGCACCTGTACATACGTGTATACCAACCGCATCGTAGAGCAGATCACATTGGCGGTTGCAGCAGTTTTCTTTTGTCGTTTTATTCATAATAATCTTGACAACCATCAGGTTTAGCCCGGCCACGATGGTCTAGTGGCTAAGGTACTCGGCTTCTGACCCGCAGGTAGAGGGATTGAATCCCGGCTACGGCGACTGCATTTCCAATAGAGGCGGAAATTTTGTAGGCCCGTCTGTTCAGTATTGTGTGCACGTTAAAGAATCCGAGATGGTCAAACTTTCCGGAACCCTCCACTACAACGTCTTTTATAATCATATGGTGGTTGTGGGACGTTCAATCCCACATATCAATCAACCACCAGGTTTGCAAGAAGTTTTGTTTCGGGCCGGAGAAGTTTGGATAAAAAGCAGACGTTTGTATTAAATAAAAAATAGTACGAGTAGATAACAGGTTATTTTTACAAGGAATGAAAGTTAGATATTTCTGGCATGGGTCTACACGTGAGAGCGATTACACCGTTTTCGCACACTCCAATCTTCATATTTCTTCCAGCTATGGTCGAATCAAGATTGTTCGCGATGCGATTTCAACATTCATTGTCATTATCACATTACAGCAACGAATGAACAGGACGACCTTGTTATTCGAACGCGACGCTATCTACCACTTGCGCATTATGATGTTCTTCCAGCCTTGAAGCGTAGAAAGCCGCAGAACGGTTAGTTGTCTTCCTAATGAGAGATGATACACGCTCGACTAGTGGTCGCGACTGGGGCTACTATTTGTCAGCCATTGCTGCAGTGGTGGCATAGAAGCAGGGTGCCCCGCAGATAGCTATGGCGTAACCTTTCTCGATTTCGGTTATTCGTGTGCCGAACGTCATTTGAGATGGCCGAGGGTCGCAAGCGCGAGACGACTCACACGTTGTACGGCTTCGGCGATGGCTTCGACTGGCGGAGCACGTCTTTCTTGGAGCCTTTGCCTTCCGAGCTGGTTTGCAGCTACTGTGGGTTCGTCTGCAAATGGACGGCGCGGTTGCCGTGCTCTCACACTGCTTGCACTCGCTGCTTCAGAAAATCCGAGCGAAGGCCGTACACGTGTGTGCTGGATGGAACTTGCTGCACGGACAGCGGCGTATCATGGTCTGCTCTTTCCGAGGACCGACTGGCTCAATTAAGTGTAAGTGTCAACGAAGCGTTTGTTTTGCCGTATTTGGGTTCGCAGGTATTGATGGTGTCAGACTGCGTGGAGGACAGTAAAAGATCGACGAATGGCGTAATAGTGCGCTTTAGAGCGCTTCCCATTGCCAAAAGCAGCTTACCGCTGTGGTGTAGCGGTTACGGTACTCGGCTGCTCACAGTTGAGGGTTCGATCCCACCTGCGTGGCTTGTATTTCGATGGGGGAAAATTCGGAGGCTCCTATGCTGTGCACGTGAAAGAGCACCAGATGACAAAAACTTCCGGCGCCCTCCTCTGTGGCGTCTCTCACAATAATTGGAACATTTAGAATAGCGCACAGCAAATCCTTACGGTGCGGTCGCTACCACGGCGCATGTGTCGTAACGCGATCCGCCGTTCGCGTTCGCGGCCCGCACGCAGAAAATTCGAAATAGCGGGTGGCGTGTGCAGCCCGCATGCACCCTGCAAACGCTGGTGTCGAGGCTATGTGTGGTTTTCCTGCATTTAAGTTTGCGGGGCAGCTTAAGTCCCTAGATTGTTCCCTAGGAGGGGCAAGCGTTAATCTAAAACTCATATGGTGCCCGATATGCCCGCAACGCCCGCAAACGTTATTCTAAATCTCCCGAATAGGGAGTAATAGATTAGCGCAAGCAAATACCACCCATTGATATTACTGCCACTGCGCATGCGTCATGAGGCTTGCCGCCATTAGCGTTTGTAGCCCGTCGTGGTGGTCTAGTGATTAAGGTACTCGGCTGCTGACCTGCAGGGTGTGGGATTGAATACTGGTTGCGGCGGCTGCATTTCTGATGGAGGCGGAGATGATGTAGGCCCGTGTGCTCAGATTTGAACGCACGTGAAACAACCCCAGGTGATCAAAATTTCCGGAGCATCTTATTATCATATGATGGCTTTGGGACGTTAAACCCCACATATCAATCAATCAATCATTATCGTTTGTAGTCTTTTCGAAAGAAATCTGAAATAGTGTGCTGCTTCCAAGGCCCGCAAAGTCACTTTGCGATGACTCTAGAATGTAACAACGTTCGCAGGAGATAAACGCAATATACAAACGCTCATATGGCACCCAAACGCAAACGCTACGCCCGCTAATTTAGCGTACGGTATTCCTAAACTACCTATTAACAAGGTAAATATACAGCACGTAAGACCACCGCAACTATACAAGCACACCCAGAAGTATCGTAGGGATGAACACTCAACACCGAAGAAAAAAGTGCTTTCGAAAATGTTTGTTTCCATACTGTATCCTTCTTCACTGAACTCTTCATAATTTCAAAACGTCATTAGATTTCCGAATATACCTTAATGGTAAGCATTTAGTGTTTTCATTCATACATGTATGCCACTACATCGTGATCACACGAGATTTTGTCCAATTCTCGATTTTTCTCAGAAACAGCACCGATCAGAAGCAGCACGGTGTTCATATTTTCTTGAGCCTTCGTCTTTCGTCATGTTTAAGTCTGCAGATGTCATACGAACATGGAAAAACTGTTCTTCAATAACCAAGAATGGCTGATGAGCATGCGCAAGCACCAATAGAAGCAGTAGGTCCTTTTTCATAAAGACAAATACATTGCCTTCTGAAACTGCGTTACACAAGGCGTTATTTTTTCTTTGTGGGGGTGGGGCGACTCTCTAGTGATAATGCTCAAGTATGCTCGACTCTACCGCCACAGTAGTATTGTGACATTTTTATTGATTGATTTGTTGGGTTTAAAGCGCCGAAACCGCCATATGATTGAGAGACGTCATAACGAAAGGCTCCGGAAATTTCGACCACCTGTGGTTCTTTAACGTGCACCGAATCTGAGCACATGGGCTTACAGCCGTTATGCCTTCATCGAAAATGCAACCGCCGTAGCTGGGGATTCTTGGCATTTTATTTTTCTGACAGGGCCCAGTACACTTCAAGCGAAACTTAGAAAAAGCCACTTCTTAGCTTTGTGCGCAAATGTCGAGCCTGCTCTAACCGTATTTAGCCGTTTTCCTTCAGCCACTAATTACCTCAAGCCTGTGATGCAACATAAATAATAATTACTAGCACCCCGTAGTAATTATTCATTAGTAACACCTGGCAAAGGTTCTTACAGAATGAAACAATTTATTAGGAATTGAAGTAGCTGCTCAAAGGAAGTCTAAACCACAGTGCATTAGTGATCTAGAGCAGCGGTCGGCGACATTTTCAGGCGAAGGGTCGCTGTGCATGTAGCCGACACAGCGGTGGCCGTACGGTTAAGAGGGGGTAGTGGTAGTGGCGCAAAAAACAAGTGGGCGTATTAGCAGTGTGCAAAACTCAAGTAGAAATCATGCCTTCTTTTGCTCAGCGTCGCGACTTGCAAACATAGGTCGAGAAGTGGTGATACCGATTTCTGGTTCTAAGTGTCATGTCAGCCTTGAGATAAGAAGTCGAGGAGGGGGTGTTTTGGCTGATACACCTTCCGAGATTGTGGGTGTAGAGGGCGCTGCTAGTGTTCCTTGAAGCATGTGGCCACAAGTAGGCACTACAGTCCACCGAGCGTATATGTGGGATTTGGGGAGATGGAATAGTTTTTTCTTCATTTGGTTTCCGCTTGCCAGCAGTACATCCCGTGTCTCGCCTCCCGGGCTGAAAACGGTGTCAGAAGTGAGATAATGCCGTTAATCCGACACGCCGAATGACGCGGTATCGACCCCCGCCAAAGCCAAAGTGAACAACGTTGCAAACTCACCAGCAGCGAGTTGCACTTCACATACCATTGTTCGTTAAAGTTTTTTCATCGTCATAAGTCACTTTGATTGTATTTATTGTATTAGATCTTTCATTGAGCTGAAAATAAAAGCATAGTTTTATCTTGTGCATTGCATGTAGCCCGATTACAGTGGACATTATGGAGCACCACATGCCACCAACACGCTTGAGCTCGACCAGCGAAGCGAAACTTTCAGAGCAATGAAATGTGCAGTCACGACTACAGTCCACGCCTCACTGCTAACTTCTGTAGTTCACCGGTACCGTTCGAACGACGTTATGGTAATACAAATTTTCGCAAATTCAACGTTGCGAAAAGCGCAAGCGTGTATTCGTTTCGATATCCTTGTTGTGATCGCACTGATGAAACCTGCAACATCTGCGTGCAGTTAATAGCGCGTTGTTAGATTTTGATCGTGGCTGCGACACAATTGCTACTTATTGGGATGTTAAATGCTTATGTTTCTCTAAAGAAGGAACTCCATGGTGCTTACAGTGCAAGTAATGATGACGGCGTAGTATGTTTGCAAATCATCGCTACGTTGAGCATTCGGTCTCATGGCGCGACGGCGCCCCACTCGCTAGTCACTACGCGCTACTCGCTGCGCGCTACCGCAGCGAGTAGTGACTACGCGCTACTACTACGCGCTACTCGCTGCGGTAGCGCTATCTGAAATATTAATTTGCCGCAGCGGCAAATAATAAATATTTAAAATTATAAATAATAATTGTTAATATTATTATTATTTAAATATTATTTAAATAATATTTAAATAATATTTAAATATTTAATATTGCAGCGGCAAATATTAAACTGCAATACATCGTCACCACGTGATGACATCACACTCGTTCTTCGTGTGTGTTAGCGTAGTCCGTGCGATTAATCTTATCAATCACACCACTTGCTTTGTGGCCTGGGCACTGCTCCTAACCAAAAGCAAACGCAGTTGGTGGAACCTATCTTCACCGTGAACATCTGTCAATCAAACTTATTGATGTGCGAACTCGGGGACCAGTTCGTTGACTCTGAGAAAACCCAAGTTCAACTCGTGACTGTCATATTCGTGGTGTAATTGATTGATATGTGGGGTTTAACGTCCCAAAACCACCATATGATTATGAGAGACGCCGTAGTGGAGGGCTCCGGAAATTTCGACCACCTGGGGTTCTTTAACGTGCACCCAAATCTGAGCACACGGGCCTACAACATTTCCGCCTCCATCGGAAATGCAGCCGCCACAGCCTGGATTTGAACCCGCGACCTGCAGCTTCTTCACTTTTGAGCACATAGTCTGCTTTAATCACCACACTCACTTTCCCAGATATCAGAGCAATAAAAATCAAGTGATGACACAAGCCGAATATGTGACACCGGTGAGCGATTGTGATACACAACAAGCGCAAAGCGGCAATCTCAAATATGCACTTCACACGGTTGTAACCGGCAGCTAATACTGTGAAGCTTGTTTGCGATATAAATTTCAAGATTTCATAACGCAATGTTAAACACTCAACAAATACTTTTCTTGTCCTATTTTCTTGATCGCAACAGTAAGAGGGTCAGGCGCCTTTTCACCCTAGCAGTGGTCGCCAACTCATCGTTGTTCTTCCACGTTAGTGTCTGCACGTGCGACCACGTCCACTCTTGAGTTGTAAAAAAAAGGAGAAATAATCGGCAGTTCCCTCGTACCAGGAAATTGAAGTCATGCGAAGCATGCGGAGGAAAAGTGACCGTTTCGCAAATTTTTTTTATTGAGCGACACGTCATGAATTGACGCTGAATACATGCACAAATGTTGCACGCTCAGACATATGTTGAAGAGTTGCAGATGTTTATATAACCAGTCGTTTGCACTTTTGCAACGATGTCAACTGGAACATGCGCATTAGCAACACCACAATCTGATATGAAGCGCTGATACTCGCGAAGATGCTGACCCTGGACACTGATACATAAATCAACTTCGGTGCATGGCAACTAACCTAATTGACGTTAACCCGACATTACGGCTGTATCAAAGGAGTACATATGTAGTGTTTATAAAATTGTATAGGCAGAACTGCAGCCACTATTGACGTTTCACAAAGATTAGCGTCTATTAGAAAAGTAGTTGCTAGACCTACTGTATCGTATCGAACTCGCACTGCGCGCCGGCCACCGCGCAAGCGCTACGAGCTAGCACCGACCACCGGCGATGCAAAGAATGTGTTTCACAAAAAATGAAGGCTGATGGGATGTATA